AATACATGTTTACTTCAATACAGTTTAGAACCATATCTGTTTACTTTAACAGTGCTGCCAAAATTATAAACTGACTGCTACACAATTAAAATAAATGCTTTTATACATTTGTATTAGTTATTAACTGCTTTAGTTGTTCTGACTGCTAAAATCATCTGTTATTCCTAATTTTAAAGCCGACATTCCGTGGGGTCGGGGGGCTCGGATCCTTGTCACCTTTTTCATACCTGATGAGTTTGCATCCCTGTTATTTACTCAACAATAACACACAATTATCCTTGTTTTTATTTATTTGTTATAATTCTATAATCTCTGGCTTTTTTGGCGTCCGTCAGGAACTGAATTTCAAAATAAAATAACCGGAAACAGACGTAGGCCTATAAGGGACATTTCGAGCATCATTGCGATACACAACCCATGTACACACCCACTGAACTGATTACCCAAGATCCTCAGCTATGGTTTAAACTCGGTGATTGGGGCTGCAGTCGAATAGTCCAAAAATCAGCTCCTAAATTCTAACCCTATCGTCTATTCCTTGATCTCTGAGTGAAACGTCACAGGGTTAAGGGATAGTGGATAGGATAATTCAAAAGGATTTAGGAGACGAGACTGCGGTGCTTTAGAGAATCCGACTGCACTTTCACTATCCGACGTGTTTATGATGCGCCAGCGGACGTCATAAATGTGCATCTGCTGAACTACAACTTTCCGAAAGCGGACTACTATAAGCGCATCATTAATAAGCGCTGTTATTGTGTTTTATGCTTTATGAACGTGAGCAACAGCGAACAATATGTTGTTCATTAAGGTTGAAATTAAAGCAAATAAGTAAAGTGAAAGAAAATCGTTGTCACATTGATAATTGTGGCTCACACTCACCTCACCCTCCTGGCAACATACAAAACAATTGATGGAAACCATGTTAGACCTACACATGTATTGTTGTACATATCACCATTCTTAAGTTTATAACATGTTGAATTAAAATATGGCCAAAAGTCTCAATTACATTTGAAGCTGTATTGGCTTATTGATGTGTTATGGGACAAAATAGTTGTTTACCCAAAGACACTATCAAATTACCACAGGCCCAACACTGTTGCACTCAATGAATAACCAATAATCACCCAGCTGAGTAGTATGTTGCTCAATGACCCTATTAGTGTCCTATATAAGAGCAGGTGGGCAGTATCACAATTTCAGAGCAAGATGGCAGAAATGGCTGCTGTGTTGCAAAACAACAGAGCAAATATTCAGAGGAGGAGAGCACGACTGCAGAGGCTGGCAGTAGGTTTACAAGGGGTAAGTGGATTCTGATACTGGTTTTAATGATAGATTACAGATGCTTACATTGCACATACTATCAAGAGTATAGCTAAAATTGTTCCTGTATATGTTCTGTGTACCTGGGTGAAGTTAGGTTTGAGGGCTTTCTGACAGAAAATGGTCTTATGGTTTAGCCAACAAACATATTTCCAGTATTGGTTATTCATAGCAAACTTGAAGGCTATCTCCTCCCATGTGCTTGCCTTACACAACAAATATGCATCAAAAAAGGAAAGCCACAATATTGATGTATTTGAACCTTTTACTATTTACACCTGTTTTGTCTTCTACAGGAGAGGATCAACATGTATGCCAACCCCAACCACCATGTCCCTGTGGTAAAAATCTATATGGATCAGTCCAAAGATCTTAGATTTGACTACCGCCTGTCGAGGGAATCCATCGAGGCCCTGATGACCCTTCTCAGGAGGGAGAAGAACCATGGCTGGGTTCAGCATGTGGAGGTCCTCCTGGTGGTCTACTGGCTGGCACATGGGTTGTCCTATTCGGTTGTCTCCAGGGTCTTTGATGTGCCCAAGACCACAGTTTTCGATATTGTACACAGGATGTGTGAGGCAATATTATGTTTGTTGGAGAAGGTCATCCATTTCCCCACACAGGCAGTGTGCTGAAGTTGGCAATGGCTTTCATCGCCTTGCCAACAGCCCAGCCTTCAGCCACTGTGTGGGAGATATAGATGGATGCCACATCCGCATCAAGGCTCCCAATAGCCCCCATTGCCCAGGATTACCTGAACAGGAAACTGTTCTTCTCTGTCCAGCTTCAGGGAATCTGTGACAGTTATGGCACATTCCTGGACATTTTTGTTGGCTACCCTGGTTCGGTCCACGACACCAGGGTGCTCAGGAACAGTCCAGTGTTTGTGAGGGGCTGTTACCCACCAGCTGGCCATTACATTGTGGGGGATGGAGGTTACCCGTGCCTGAGGGAGCCTCTTAACCTCATCACACCGTACCGGGAACCGTTGAGGGGTAGAGTGGAGGCGCGCTTCAACCGACACCATGCCAGAGCCCGATCGGTTGTGGGGAGGGCTTTTGGGATGATGAAGACACGGTGGAGAGGGATCTTCTTCAAGGCCCTGGAAGTGCATCACACCTTTTCCCCCAAGGTGATAGCAGTGTGTGCAGTGCTCCACCACAACATCTGCCTCACTGCTGGAGACATTCTGGAGCCAGTGCCGCTACCTCCAGAGGGACCTGTGCAGAGGGATGAACATGCTGGTCAGCACTATAGGGACAGACTGGCAGCAGCTGCTCCCTCTTTTCTTCAGCACCCCGTTACTGAAGCACAAGAGACACTTCAATTGAGTAAACATGGGTGACAATTGTGTGAGAGATTGTCCCTCATGTGGCTCTGGGTTCATAATGAGTTATGACTAGCACACAGTGTGTGAGTCCTGCCTGGATTCACATGCTGTGTGCCCTCCTCGGGCGACAGGAAGCGGAGAGCGGACGCTCTCGCTGCTGTGGCCGAGGAGGACGATTGGCCCATCCGGGCTTACGAGCCCGCGGACGGGGGCCGAGTGCCGGGCAGGAGTCGTCCGACTCCTGCCCCGCCTCCCTCCACGGTTCACTGTTCGGTTCTGCCGTTTTTTTTAAGCCAGGCCTTTGTTAGTATATAAGTGCTTAGTTAGTATACGAGTGCTTAGTTAGTATATAAATGCACAGCAAACGAAAAATTGTACTAATTCGAAATGTGTAATTGCTTACGCCTTAAGTGTTAAAAAGTGTAAACAACTAAGCAAATTCACATTATAATATAGGAGGCTGGGGTCGCCAGTTTAAGTCTGTAGCATAATATCTACAAACACTAACCCACCACAGTGCCCAGCCATGTGATTTGCTTTACCTTGTATTTTGTTTTCAAGTTGTCCCATTTCTTTGCTGTCTGTGGACCAGTCACCTGGCCCTCCAGACCCATCTCTTTAACAACCTGCCTTTAGTTACAAATTATCTTAATTCACCACATTTATTAAAACATTTTATCAGACAAATATAGATGTACTTACTCCCAGCCTGATTTGGCAGCATTTAGTTTCCCACTGAACATGTGCTCCATCTTAACCCTTGCACTAATTAGGGCAAGGGTTTCAGCATCTGTGACTGAAATAAATGCATCATATTAGGCTTGCATGGTACAACGCTGGAAACTAAGAATTAAATAGCCTAATGCAAACTGATCATAAAGGTTTTAGTAAGATGTTAACTTTACCTGTCTTTTTTCTCACAACAGTTAATCAGTTTATATACTCAGCAAACAAAAAAGTATGTGTTTTGTTTTGAAGTGACGGGTGTTTCATTTGGAGATGATATTTAAAAAGGGGACCTATCATGCAAAATGCACTTTTGTACGTCTTTTATACATGAATATGTGTCCCCGGTGTTCCAGGGAACTCACCAAGTGTCAGAAAACACAACCCTCTCTATTTTCCTCCATACCCAAATCTCTAAAAAAGGGGCTGCAACGGATCTGATAAAAACTGATCCAGATTTGAACACTGTCCTGACGTCAGGACAGTGGCTCTACGGCTATTGGGCCAACTCTCCACCTATCAGGGGAATGTGGGGTTGGGCCACGGCCGGCCATTGCCGCTCGAGACGCTGTAGTACATATGCCAGGCCTGTAAGTGGCGCTGTAGTCTGACACAAAAGCAGCAAAGAAGACTTCCTGCCCATAGTTACCATGGTTACCCTTCTGTTTATTCTCCACTGTGGCTTTCTTTCTCCCTCCCCGAGGCAAGCGTTTGCTCCTTCTGCTGCTTTAATTCAATGCAATCCCTCCCCGTCGAGGCAAGCACTGTAATTCTCTCCGGTTAGTCCACCAGCAGATGACAAACACCCACCTCTCCGCCTCTTCCAAGGAACGAGGGGACCGTGCGGCAGAGTTTCAGTTTCAGTTTATTTCGCCGGTCAAGATGTCCGTTAGTTTAAATCTTCCGGACAAAATTAGAAAAGTGCCGGTCAAAGGTCTTCTTTGTTATTTATTGAGCTTTAAAACAAATGAATAACGACTCTATATAATAAAACACGGAGGACGGAGATCTTTTTTTCTCCCCCTCTTGACTTGATCAGAGCACGGCTCCCCTCTCCTGCAGGGGGGCGTGGTCAGCTGCAGCTCACAGAGATCAGCCCCGTAGACAGCAAACAGCACATAGAGCGAAATGAGGCATGGCTAAAATGCATGATCTGTTTGGTATTTTGAAAACAGAAACGTATAAATATAGTGACTGCTTTTTCGTCTTTTGTTTTCTTTGTTATGTTCTCTGTATTTTATATGTTTGTGTTATGTGTTATGTGTAACGTTGCTGCCTTCTTGGCCAGGTCAGCACTGAAAATGAGATTTTATCTCAATGTTTTTATCTGGTTAAATAAAGGTTAAATAAAATAATAAAAAATAAATATACCTTATATAGGTATGGCCCTACAATATATCATTTAAATATAGCATGATAGGTCCACTTTAAGCTAGCTTGGGACCAAGGCACTGTTAGATTTTATTTGCAGCGCTTAATAATATTTTTTGGAACGATTAAGTTGGATTGGACAACTTCCCAAGGAACACCTGGCGATCTCTCGTGGCAAACTGGTGTTCCACGTGTTACAACCCGGCTCCTGGGCTGCAACAAAAAGCAGGGAGGCGAGACGAGGGGGAAGAATATCACAATAGTTTATTCTTAATAAACAAATAAATCCATGAAACCAGCAACAGGTCCCCGAGGCTGGCACGGAGAGAGTGCCCAGAGGAGTGAGAGAGCGACGTATCTGGCTTGGCTCCCCTTGTAGGCTTCCAGCAGGTGCAGCTCATCCGGCAGGTGCAGCTCATCAGGCACAGCTCATCAGGCACTGGAACCTGCAATCACCCACCCACAAACACACACAAACAGACGGCACCCCACGTGGTGTGGAGGGGTCGTCACACACGACAGAGTGGTCTAAAATCACTGCTGTAAGTTAAAATGTTTACTTCTTCCATAGAGATATTATATTAACTTCTGCTGTACTTACCTGCTTGCTCACTAACTCGATACTAGAGCCAATAGGATCGATCCTTTTATACTACTCGTCAATTTCATCAAAAACTATGTGCAAGAGTGCAGTTCCATGCGCTCTTTTCTTCTCTCTCCACTGCTGTCCTCCTTTCCTCAAGTCTCGCGCACGAGCAGCGCGCTCCCTGCCTGAACTCCGATTATCAAGCTGACGGACAGCAGCCAGCAGGGAAGGACAGCAGCAGCCGGCGACTCGCGAGTGCAACACACGCGCATGATGGCTGAGAGAAAGAGGAGCGTTGTGTGGAGCTATTTCACAACTGTCAATGAAAACGTAGCGAACTGTGATGTGTGCAAGAAGGCAGTTCGCTACTGTGGCCACTTTGTATTGTTATTTTTCATGTTTGCACTTTACATTTGCAAAAGTAAAACGTTTATTTGTCTATAAAAACTGTCCAGTCTTTAATCATGGAAATAAATTCAGATTTAGTCTATGATACTTTCAGCTCAAAAATCATGTCATGCAGCTCTCCCCTATATGAAAGTAGCTACATAAGACGCTTTTCATTTTAAAAAGTATTGGTATCGGTATTGGTATCGGCGATACTGGCCCTGAAATACTTGGTATCGGATCGAATCCAGATTTTGTGGTATCGCCCACCCCTAGTCTGAAATAACATTTATTAAATTAGGTTTATGTCCTTTCTAACTCGTTTTTATATTTTATACATTTTAATGAGTACTTCTAGAAGGAGCCTGAGAAATTAGAATCTCATTTGGTCTTGGGCTCACAGGCGATGGAGTTAAATGACAGTTTATTTAAAGGGGAGTCCTACAGACAGAGAAAAACAAGGTAGTCCCAGCACACAGAAGGCAGTCTATGTGGATGACCAGTGTTTGCAGCTATAACCAATTGAACCTATAATAACGCACATCAAAAACAGAGATATTTTTTGCATACCACAAAAAGCTGCTTTCCAAGTTACAAACTTTTCCCGTATATTACCTGCTGCTGCTCTGAATCACCACAGAGGAATCACTGCATCACATTTGTCCAACATATCTTAAGATGGAAACTTTGCAGGCTCCTGTCTCACCCACAGAAACTTGAAGAGTTTCCATTAAACACACACATAAAGCCAAACCATCTGCAGCCTTATTGAAATCTGCCTTTATGGCCATTGTTTGTATAAATATGTAAGGATATGAAGTGGTAAGATGAAGTTAGAAACATGTCTTACTGTACCTATACTTTTGTGAAACTGTAAATTAATGGATGTAATATTTGTTTAACATTTTAAATTCTAAATTCCCCAGGTTTCCAAATGTCTCACCACGGGCTTATTACTCTTGCAACAGATTTTTCAGACCTTGGCATCCCTCTTTCTGAAGAGAACACATTTGGTACAAGTACCTCCACCACATATCTAGGTATCAGTTTGGACTCAATGTCCTTCCAGGCTTCTCTACCCTCATAGAAAATACAACACATAACTATGCCCAGGTCTATGCTGGCAAACTAAACCAAATACCAGCGACAAGCCCGCTTTGGACTCCTCAATTATACCATTTGCATAATTCCACAAGCAACATCTTTCCTGTCCAACCTTTGAATAATATCCCCCCTTTCTCCATGAGTTTTATAGAGGATGCATGGAAAACTTGGAAATGCGTCTTTGGCAAGATTTCCTGTCATCCTGGAAAGGCAACTCCTTCACTACGACTTTATCATCAAGCATGAAGATATTAAACTCTTCATGGATGAAGCTGGAACGGAGGGGGATGGTTTTCTTCCTTGCAGCCACGTGTGATACTATAAGTAAAGCTGAACTTCCTACTGCAATGACCCTAACCAACGACCATGCTTCTGCAGTTTCCATTTCCTGTCATATTCGGTCTACATTTCCACCAATAGTTAAGAAAAACTACAAGCCTGGATTGGTAATACACTTTACCACGGAACCTTTCAAAACATTGGCAGGTATACATTGCTCACTTTAGAAAGATTGCTTTTGTGGTGTATTAAGGAGACGGACACCGCTATGTCGTTCACATCTTTACGCCACGTTGAACTTCACCTTCAGACTGCGCATGCGCGCTACAACAGGTTAACCAGGACCATATTCACTGAGGTCCAAAAAGCACCAGTTTGCCTTGTAACATAATAAACATTATGTATATATACCACATTATAATAATAATACATTACATTTATAAAGCGCTTTTCCTGGTGCTCAAAGCGCTTACAAGCAAGTAAAACAAAATAACAATAAAAGTAAAAAGTGCTAAGCTAGGTGGAATAAGGGCGAGGGGTTAGTGAATTAAGAGTTGAAGGCAAGAGTGAAAAGGTGAGTTTTGAGGGATTGTTTGAATGATGTGAGAGTGTTGGCAGATATGACGTGGCTGGGGAGGGAGTTCCAGAGTGTGGGGGAGGCTGCAGCGAAGGCCCTGTCACCCCAGGTCCGGAGCTTTGTCCTGATGGGCTGCAGTAGGTTAGCTTCAGCAGACCTGAGGTGACGGGTGGGGGTGACACACCCCCACCCGTCACCTGTTGGATGAGGTCACAGAGGTAGGGGGGGGGGGGGGGCAAGGTTGTTGAGGGCTTTGAAAGTGAAAAGTAAGATTTTAAAGTCAATGCGGTGTTTGATGGGGAGCCAGTGGAGGTCATGGAGGATAGGGGTGATGTGGTCGGAGCGTCGGGTGAAGGTGAGCAAGCGGGCAGCTGAGTTTTGGACATATTGAAGTTTTTTTAGTATGAATGCAGGTTATCCAAAAAGTATGCTGTTGCAGTAATCCTAGGGCTGTGCAATTAATCGTATTTCAATCGCAATTACGATTTTGGCCTGCCACAATTACGAAAACAACATAACCGAAAAAAACAATTATTTTGTTTTGCTAGGTTGTGACAGTGCACTGCAACATATTTGATCTAATTTATTTGTATTTATCATATTTATATATGTTTAGTATCTTGTTGAAGTGCGCTCCAAAATATTTGTTGATCTTGTTTATTGGTATTTAAATGTATCATTTATTTTATTTATTTTTATATTGGTTTTTCAGTTGAATTATACGTTCAGGGTAATCAACAGTTAAAAAGATATTGTTCAAATTATTATTTGTATTTGTTTTAAAGTACAATAAATGGATGTTTTCAAAGTCAATGAATAATCGTATTTAATAATCGTGATATCAATTATTGACCAAAATAATCGTAATTATTATTTTTGCCATAATCGCACAGCCCTAAGTAATCCAGTCGGGATGTTATAAAGGCATGGATCAGAGTTTCAGCAGCGGTTGATGAGAGGGAGGGTCTGATGCGGGCGATGTTCTTTAAGGCGAGACACCCCAGGTGAATAGGGTAATTTTTTTCACTTAAAGATATCAGCTAGAAATCTCTCCAGTTAATTACTTACAATAAGGCAATTGTTTTTTGTATTACAAGTTTTCTGAAATAGCATGTTTAAATATGCAAATGAGCCATTATCTCATGAAATATGGGCATATTTTAACACATTTCAGGAACCGAAATCTGAACTTTGGATAAAGCCAGGATCAAAATTATTGTTTCATTTTGTAGTCATATTAGTATCTAAGGCTATTACAGAAGGGATTTTAGATATCTCTTTGTATCACTCCATAAATCAGAAAATACTGTCAACAGCCCTAAAATATCAATTTTCACCATGTTTTTAGGTATAACATGTTATATAATTCAGGCTATGAATTATATATGACCAAACCCTTCTGTAAAAGCCTTCATAATATTGATAGGAATATAACTGGAAGGTTTGGTGTATGTAACTGCTACTGAAGTGGAAATTTCGAACTCAGAGTAGGAGAAAAAACTCATTTTGAGAAAACGACCTTTAAAGATTGCAGTGTGACGCTAGCTAAACCCTCCTGTTATCTGGATGATAGCTTGCGCATCGACGCACTCCCTGAAGGTATTTCATGTTCGGGGTCATTTGTTTTTTGTATAACCTTGCTTTGTGCAAGTGACAATTGTTGTCGTCTTCTCTGTGAACGTTTTTTTCGCCGTTATTTTGCCATTTTCAGATTTAAGTTTCTAGCGTAAAGCTAACCAGGAAGTGCTTTAGCACACCACGTGACGCATCTGAACGAATCACGTTGTCAGAAATTGACACCAGCCAATGAGATTTCGTTTCTTGGTTTAAGACCCCTTTGTACTTTCACGATTGGTTGCTGATACAAAGGAAATGACCATATTTGGATCCGATGAGATTGTGCAGGAGACACGGAGCTTTCAAACGATACCTCTGATGACATGGTGCAAACAGCGGTCGCGTGGTACTTTATGTTACGTTAGAATGCCTAACTTTTGGTGAATTTAGGGAGAAACTCTACAGACGCAAAATAGACAAACTATAGTAAAATAAACACTTAAATGTGTATTTTGTACGTTTTCCTTCCCAAAAGCCTGAAAGAAAACATGTTATGGAATCAAAATAGCACAAAATCTCAAAATTGACCAGTGCAGGAAAAACGATTGTTTTTTGCCTGCCGTGTCTCGCCTTAAATGGAAGAAAGCGTTTTTTGTGACCTGGTTGACGTTGAGGGAGGAAAGTGAGGGTGGGGTTGAGGATGATGCCAAGGTTACGGATGTGAGTGGAGGGGTGGACAATGGAGCCGTTCAATGGTAAGTGAAACACCTTGGGTTGAGCGGGTAAGTGAGTTTGGGCCGATGATTATAAAGTTCCGATTTGTCACAGTTAAGTTTTAGAAAATTGTTTTGCATCCAAATGTTAATGTCAGTGAGGCAGGTGCTGAGCTGGGAGTGTGTGGTTGGAGAAATAGATTTTGAGGTAGAGCTGTGTGTCATCAGCATATCAGTGGAACTGGAGTTGGTGTTGACGGAGGATTTTTCCAATTGGGAGGATGTAGATAATGAACAGAAGGGGAGCAAGTACAGAACCCTGAGGGACGCCATGATTGACGGGGGCTGTGGGGGATTTGGAGTTGTTAATGGAGATTAATTGATGTCTGTCAGAGAGATAGGATTTAAACCAGGAGAGGGCAGTAACGGTTATGCCAATGGAAGACTGGAGGCGGTTGATGATGATGGAATGGTTGATCGTGTCAAATGCGGCTGTTAGGTCAAGGAGAATGAGAATTGAGAGGGAACCAGAGTCAGCA